CTTAGATATTATAGCTTTGATTCATTTTAGCAATGCAGATTTTAGAGGCTGTTTTAACCCACGAAACGAGCTCATTTTTATTAGTTTCGCGTAAATTGAAGCAAAACATTATTTTGAACACTTTTTGTGTTTTGAACTTTTCCGAAAAAAATCATCTTACAGCAGTTTCTTTTCATTTTCAGTTCCAGATTTTTGCGATCGAATTTCGTTTAGAATTTTATATTAAGTTTTTCTCTCAACCTGTTTAGTTTCTACTAAATTCGTCCGCATAGCCTTTTAGGAAATTTGATTCTGTACAATTTTTGTTCTTTGAATTTTGGTCAATTCAAATTATTTAAGCATGAAACGGTAGATTTTTTTTATACTTATTCAGCAAGTTACTTATAATTAAATTATACTAACTTTAATTTTTGCAAGATGGTGGGTCTTACTAACTTTTTTATGCAGGACTGACCCACCATATTTTTATTTCTATTTTGTTTATTTTATAATTAATTTATATTTCGTTGTGTACGGACAAGAAACTAAAAGTCACCATATCTCTGGAAACTACACATTCGTCTCGGTGCGGTTGGAACTACATGTCTTGTCCCGTAATAAGAATTTAATGTATTTCTGTTTGTGTCTGGTGGACACGTGGGTGTTAAATCTTATACTCATACCAGTATACCTGTATACTAACCCGTTTTGTCTCTTGGCAACTCGGGTGCGTTCTGTTTGAGCGCAGCCGAGCTGCTTTTGCAGGATTAGTTGAGGCTATGGTGGTGACAATAAATAACTATGATCGTAGAACATGTCGTTTGGATTTCTTTTGTTTTCTTGAGCTTAGGATTGATATTAGTTTATGTATTTATTATTTTATTTTTGTATGACTTTAGTATTGAAATAATTTAACATGATTTGTAACCGTATGTTATTTAAGTTGTTGTAACTAGTTGTTGCTACCTTAATGTTGAGGTATTGGTTAGTTATGAGATTATGGTGGATGGATGGTTTGGTTGGCGTTTAGTTTATTTTGTTTCACCCCTAGAGTTTGGATGATGGAATATTGATTGGGTTTAGTCCTAATGCAATATTTAAGTGTCCAAATTTTGGGGCGTGACAATGTCATTATTCATATATGATAAATTTAATTTTTAAATAAATAATCTATTAAAGTCATTAAAAATAAATCATTCAAATTAATAGATTTATAATGGACTGAATAAGAAGTTACGATTCAAATAATTAATGAGAGAAAAAAACATCCTATGTAAAATTTATCATATTTTTTAAAAAAAATATTGAGTTGTATCACAGAGCATATGAAGCAACATAAAATAAATAAATAAATAAATAAATAAAATTGATGAAATAATTAAATAATATATAATAGTTCTTTTGTAAATAAGTTGAGTGAGAAAAAATAAAAAATTGAGGTTTTCACTAATGTAGCATAGCATAGCATAATAACATGGTTAGGGTATTTCAGAAGGAATTTGAAAAAGGAAAAGAAAATTATGTGTGAAATTAAGTAAAATATAAATATATTTTATTTACATTTCACCTATTTTTTTCATTTCTCGTTTTAAATCTCTTCTCAAATCTCTCAACCAAACACAGCAAATGAACAGTAAGGTGGGCTCTATTTTTTGTGAGAGAAGTCACAGGTCTTGTTCATAATTTCAAACTCAACTCATCTACAAAAACACACCCACCATATGGAGGCTGGTCCATACGGGTTGGCCCGAACTACCCATTTGCACAAACAAATACAAAAACCCCGTGAAAAACTCTACCCGAAAAGAAGCTCCAAATTCTCGTGAGAAATCGAGAGAGGAATGGCGATGATGAGGTCGTTGTACCGCTCGATCTGCTTCAGATCTCTCTGTTCCTCTTCTGCCGCCGTCAACCACCGTCAACACCTCCCATAGGGCCTTCACTATTTTCATCTCTCTCACCCTCTTCCTCCCCCCTTTCCATTTTCCCTCAAAACCATCCCTTCCGGTACTTTCTGGCTTTCTTCCTCATCTTTCTGGTTTTACCTATATATCTGAACATATGCTTTGTTGATTGGGACTAATCTGAATACTTGTACATAAGGCTACAAATGAACCAAACTGTTCATGAACAAGCTCAGCTCGGCTCGGCTCGGCTCATCTCGTTTAGTAAACGAGTCGAGCTCGACTTCGCATGAGCTCAGCTTGTTTATCTTTATTTAAATTATATAATAAATATATTATTTATATATTAAATAATATGTATATACATTATTTATATATTAAAAATATAAAATAGTTATATTTAAATAATATTACAAATATGTGAGCAAATTTATTTTTGAAAATAGGGTAAAAATGGGACAACATATCGAGAAAAACTCCCTTCCATTTTTGTATCTCTCCATACCCATCCTTACTCTCTTGTGGACTTAAATTCGAATTCACATCAATGATCTGAACCGTTTACTTTGTAGGTCTCGTAATAAAGGTCATCCATACAAAAAATCAATTTCATTGGATATCGATAAACACAAGAACAAATCACATTTTCTTTATAAAATGAATAGCAAAGAGAATTGTAAACTTAAGAGCAGTCGGGCCAAAAGTACAAAATTGAATTTTCCACCGTAACCGGCCAGTAATCTGAGATTACCGAAGGCCTGCAGATCAGTAGTACAGCAAAACAGAGTACAGGGCCTGGCAGAAGCCAATACAGTAAAGAAACAATGCCCAATGAGCCGTGAGAATCTGAATGCAAAAAGACTTTTCATACATTCATACATAAACGGTACAGAACAGTATGTACAATATTTACAATCATTCAGACTAGGGACTTAATCCCTACATAACAGTACGGTAAACATTCAGTCTATACAGAACGGTAAGACAGTACAGAAGGGGGGGGGATTGTAAAACACCCCTAAGCCTTAACACGATAGGCTCGGAACCTCGCAGTGAGGCACATAGGCTGGCTTGACAAAACTGGAGTAACCCTGACGCTCCTAGCCGCGGTCTGGTGCCTGAACACCTACATGTATATATGAGCAGTGAGCTAAAGCCCAGTGAATAACATAATGCGTAAAGAGGTTAAGAATGAATGTCCTTACAGTAATGAAAACAGTTCATTAAATCTCATCGATATAAATTATGGCCAATTTGTCCGCATTATAAATTGTAAAATCTGGAAAACCCAGATTGCACCTCCAAGCTCAAACCAAGTTTTCACAATTCAAAACTCGACCTCTTGGGCTGAATTTCCAGAAAACATTTGTAAACACATAGAATAACATGGTTCAAAGCTCAATTTTGAGAAATCAAAGCCCAAGGGTGTTTAATTCAAACCCAATTTCAAACCATTTTCATGAACATGGAGAACATGCAAACATGCATGAATTCAAATCAATTCAAAGCTTCAATTTGATGCTCTAAGGAGCCAATTGATCCAAAAACAAGTTGAAAACATGGACCATTACAAAATTATGGACATGCATGTGACAATTTGCCATGAACTCAACTCAAAATCCCACAATACTAACATGCATGCATGAATTATGCTCTATTACAACATGCTAGCACTAAATCATGGCTCAATTCTCAATTTTGACATGAATCATGCAAGAACAAGCTCAAACACATCAATAAAGGTTGAATTCTCTTACCTAGAGCTTCAATTACAAGTGTAAAACCACAAATCAACAATCAACTTTCAATTCTCCAAGTTTTCTAAGCCAAATCTTCAAGAACTCAAGATGAACAACTCAATCTCTCACTCTCGCCTCCCTATGGCCGGTTTGTGTGCAAGAAATGGAGCTTAAGAGATGTTTAGAGTCAAGTATGCAAGGCTCTAGCATAACTAGGTAGTGGGCCACTCGGTGGCAAAACGGTAATTACGGCAAACTTTGTAATTAACTCATTTTAATCTAGTTCAATCATACCTAATCAGTTTTCAGATAAATATACCATAAAATCACATTAATTATGAGGATCATAAAACATCAATCAATTCCCGATTCGGCCGCCGATAAGGCCTTCAATTAACAGTTTAAACACTAAAACACGAACAGATCAAATAATCAATCAAACAGATAGATGCACAATTAAACAGATAGACTCAGTCAATTCAGTTCCAGTTTTCAGTCAGTTAGTTCAGTACTTTAATCAGTTCAATTATCAGTCATAATTAGTTCAGTTTGACGGTAATCAATGTTTATCGGTAAGCAGCGATGAGGGTTATTACAGACCTCGAGTTTCATTCGAGCCCAGCTCCTTATCGAGCCGAGCTCGAGTTCAATAAACGAGCTTGATAAGTAAACGAGCCGAGCCGAGCTCGAGCTCAGCATAGCTCGGCTCGGCTCGGTTGGTTTGCAGCCCTAGTTATGCATATTATTCTTCTCTTTAGGACAAGAATTTATGTATTTATGAAATTTAGTGTGCAATTCTTTTGAGCGCTTCACCTGTTTGATTTTATTTCTTGTGACCTATTAGTGCACTGTAATCTAATGTCCACTGTTCCTTTTTTTTTTTTTCCTATTTAAGGTGGAATTACCTCCTTTCTCATCCATCACCCAAACATTCCATTAGTTTGGGGATTTTTTTTACAAAATGTTTTTCATTTAATTCATTTATTTCTAGTCTTTTATTGTTTGATTTTATTTCTTGTTGACCTATTAGTGCACTGTAATCTAATGTCCACTGTTCCTAATTTTTTTTCTCCCTATTTAAGGTGGAATTACCTCCTTTCTCATCCATCACCCAAACATTCCATTAGTTTGGGGATTTTTTTTACAAAATGTTTTTCATTTAATTCATTTATTTCTAGTCTTTTATATTTGTATTTTTTCATCCTATTTTACTTTTTTTATATGCTTTCGAATTTAGGAAGATGCCTCAGTGAAAGGAAAAAATTTAAGAAAAAGAATATAAATAAATAAAAAAATTAGAATCACACTAACTAAATTTATCATTTTTTGAAAATTATTCTGGATTTCAAAACGCGCGGTCCATAGCGTAACCACCCGGGTATTAACGTGTTATGATAGCACTAGTTCCGTGGTTGAAGCTGAGAGGATGATAAGTAGTGAGAGAGAGTTCCTTGATAAACAAAATAACATCTGATTATTGGTTCATGTGCATTCCCATGCTGCCTCACTGTTAGTTTCTGTACATCTTTGCTCATAGGTTATTTTCATATTCAGCTTCCTTTTTCTGAATTATGGTCTCATATTGTGACATACAGATTACCGGCCTCCTTTCACAATGGCCATTGGAATGAAGATGTGACCCACTTTCCTGATATAAAAGACCCTGAAATTCTATTTGTTTTTAAGGACTTAATGGCTGCAAGTTGGGATGAGCTTCCAGATACACTCATCAGTGATGCAAATAAGGTTTTGTCTAAAAATACAGATGACAAGGCAGCCCAAGAAGCTATGGCAAATGTTTTTCGTGCAGCTAAGGCTATCAAGGAGTTTAGTGGGATGCTCGTGTCTTTGAGGATGGCAATTGATGACAGCACTGGATTGGGTGGAGAGGTGACATAAATTATATGGGAAGAATGACATTTTTTTTTTTTTCTGTCTCTCAAGTTCTTGGGGTCTAATGATTTAAAATTTTGCTACTTATTGTAGGATGTAAAACCCTTGCCGGAGGAATTTGTAAACGCATTGCGTACAGTCTATCAAAGATACACTGCATATTTGGATGCTTTTGGGCCAGACAAGACCTATTTGCGTAAGAAAGTTGAAACTGAGCTTGGAACGAAAATGATACACTTAAAGATGAGGTGCAGTGGTATTGGTTCTGAGTGGGGAAAGGTACTGCAATTTTTGCACATTGCTTTCTTGTCACTATGTTTATTTAGAGCACTCTAGTCCAGCCATACCACAATATGTAAGTTTTATGAAAGCCTATTTTGTTGGTGTGTGAGATTTAATGTGCTACATATTGTGGGCACCTAACCAATTACTATAGTTCTTTTGAAACAGACATGAAAGCACACTAAAGTAATCATCAAATTGTGTTTACAATCAGCTTGTCTTTTAACTTGCGTGATCTGTAAATAGTTGCATGTATGCAATAGTGTATAGTGTTAGTTTGGGTTTATGTTGAGTTTGGGCAAGTTTAGATGAAGATTTATCTTTTCAGGAAACTCAGATCATTTGTTCTGTGGGAAAACCCCTTCCTTAAATAGGTTTGCGTTGTCTTAAAAAACTTTACATGCTGAAATAAGTCAGTAGCCTTGAGCTGCTCCCTTTTTTTGGCTGTACATGAAATTGGTCTAGATGAAATGGTAGCTTTGCCCAACGGTAATGCTTACCGTTATCGTCCTTGATGCTATGGATTCTAGTCACAGAATAGTCTCTCCAAAAATGGGGTAAGATTGTGTACATCTTGCCCTTCCGAGATCCTGCTTTAGCAGGAACCTCGTGTACTGGGCTGCCCTTTTTATGAAATTGGTCTAGATCCTTAAATGCAGGTATGGTGTGACAATGTCTCGACCACTAATTAGGCCAAATGAATATCAACTATCATGAATTTTACGACTCATGCCTGTAACCATTCTTTTGTTTAATATTGTAAAAAATATAAAGTATGTTTAATTATTAAATCAGTTTCTGTTCCGATTGCAGGTTACAGTTCTGGGGACTTTTGGACTTTCAGGTTCCTATGTTGAGCACAGAGCTTAGTTTCTTGGAGATGGTTAAAAGCATCATGTCTTCATGTTGTCTTTTCTCTTGGGGAACTTTTTTCATGTTTGTTCCTCTTTCAGACATTTTGCTGGTGCTGTCATTACTCTTTAAATAAATCTAGTTTGGTCTCATGTGCTCTGCTTCTTCTTTTCTTTTCTTTTCTTTATTTTTTTTAATGAAGTTTGGTGAAACTAATAATTACAACTTAATGTTGCACATAACATCAGAAAGCTAATGTAAGGAAATTGGTTTCCTTTGGGTTAGAAATATTAGTTTGCCATTAGTTTGTCCTGTCATTTTGAGCCATTGTTGAGTATAATTTGTATTTAATAGTGTTTGATTACCTTATGTAGGAAGATTATAGCATCATCTAAAGTAGATTTAGTATTAAATAAATACCGTGGCTAGGATATTATATGATGCTGATGAAGGATGGTGCTATTAAGCAAAATTGTACACAAAGAAGAAAATTTTACACTACAAAAGTTCGCTTGATTTTTTTTAATAAAAAAAATTTAAAATAAAAAAATAATAATAATAAATAAAAACAGAAAAGAAAATAAAGAGGTAATGCAAATAGTGATATATATATATAGTATACTTTATCAGGTGCAAAGTTTTAAGGGAAAATTGCATTTCAATGGAGTGGAACAGTGGCAGAAAAATATATTTTTATGATGGTGTAACACTTTTGTGTGCGTGGCGTAAATTTATTTTTGTGCTTAGTCCAACTCTTTATATGTGTTAGAGTTGCATAAAAAAAAAAAAAAGAAACTCATTTGTAATACAATTATTTTGTGATTGTCTCATGTATTTACAATTTCAACAATGATTCATACCACTAAAAAAAAAATTACTAATAGTACTAATGCATTAAGAATGCCAAAAAAAAAAAAAGGCATAGGCAATGGGCGGGACTCACTGCCACATCATTAGTGGTGTTATTATTAGTGGTGCTATTAGAGCACCACTTTTAGTGCTCTCAACTATTTTTCTTGCAATTTAACGAAGTTTTAAACATCTTATTCAGGCTTGCCTCAATACTAAGGTAAAATGCATCATAACTTTGATTTTAGGCTATACTCTCCAAAGGTTTCACATCATAGTTCAAGACATGCGTCTTTTATGCATAAGGATATGAATACGCATATAAACAGCACTACAAAAAAAAGTATTTTTTGCGACGGCAAAACGCCGTCACAAATGGTCCGTGCGCCGTCTCTAATACTTTTTGCGACGGTAATTTGGCTTTTTGCGACCGCAAGTGGGGGTCGCGACAAAGGGGGTTGCAAAAGGGCTTTAGCGACGGTAAGTGCCGTCGCCATTGTTTTTTGCGACGGCAGACTGCCTTTTTTGCGACGGCAATGTTCTGTCGCTAATAATGGAAGAAAATCTAAGTTTTTGCGACGGCACAGTATTTCCGTCGCTAAAAAAGATTTTTTGAGACGGCAAGAATGCCGTCGCTAAAAGTGTCGTAGCTGATACTATTGCCGACGGCAGCCTGAGCCGTCGCTAAAGGTTTTATTTTCAATTACATTGCGTAGCTTTTGCGACAGTATGGCTGCCGTCGCAAAAGCCTCGTAAAATTTTTTTGCGACGGGTTGTTATGCCGTCTCAAAAAAAAAAAAAAAAAAAACCTGTTGGGAAATTATTAAAAAAATTAAAATAACCTGTATTAAATGAAAAATAACTATAAAAAATCCAAAAATTACATAATAATATAAATACATACATAAACAAAAATTGACAAATAATGAAAATTCATAATGTTGTTACATTCATAACAATACAGAAATAAAAATTTATAACAATAAAAATTATGCCACTACATAATGTCGCATACTACATACATAATGTTGTTCACAAATTTAAATAACATAAATCAAAATCAAAACCAAAAGTTTTCGTCTTGATTCTTTCGTGGGTTACAAAAACAAAAGTTAATTCTTGATAATCAATGCCATGCCAGAACTCCTGAACGACAAAGGTCCTGAAATCGCGACAATCAAGCCTGCTTAAGCTTGAACACCGAGAAAATTGTGTCTTGACAGAAAAAAATTCTTCCACACTTCTAACAGTCGAGCAGCGAGAGAGACAACTGCCAACAGAGAAGAAGTCCTCTTTTTCTTCATGATCACTGTCCTCATTTTTTTGCATTGCATTTGGAGCTGTGAACAATTCTCCGGTACTTGGAGAGATGATCCAGTTAAAGCTATCCATCGAAAAGCTGGCTTTACGTCTTGTTTTTGCTTCCATTGCTCTGCTTCGAATCTCTGAAACAACTACCTGAAAGAAAGATCATACCCAGTAAGATTTTAACCCAAAAAAAGACAAGTATGTTGCCAGAAAAATAATCTTGAACTTGAATGAGCTTTTGGTATTTTAGAAACTACTTCTTGATCATCATCCACATCGCTTCCTGAATCCTCTTCATCCGCGTTTCTTGAAGAAATCCGTCCACGGCACGTTTGGCACTTGGCAAAAGCATCCTTGAGGGTTGAGATGAGGAATTTGCATCTGCTAGTGGGATTTGGTGGCTCCTCATGATAAAGTAAGCTCATTGTTGGAGAGAGTTGGGTGGAAATTATTGATGGGTTTGTGGGTTAGAATGATATTATTATGTATAGAAGTGAATATTTATAATTCATGTTTGGTTTGATGTGAAAATTGAACTCTTTCGTGCGATAGTGGCCTCTCAGCTTATCCAAATATTCTGCACTTCTATCCTTTGGGGTAAAGACTACGTTAAAACAGGATAAGAAAGTTTTAACAAATTACTTCTAAATTTCACTTCAGCATCTGATCGTTATCAGAATAGAGAAAACAGACTTTTGTAAAGTCGAGCCGATCTAAATTTTGTAGAGTTTGAACTCAGCTCATTTGTTTATCGAGCTTGAAAATCACATTCAAACACAACTTGACAATTAATTAAACTTTTGGCTTAGCTCATTAATATTAAGCAAGTTCGAGCTCGGCTTGAATTTCGACAATGAGAAATTTTTTAGATATTATTTATATATTTATTTTATTATTTAAATAAATAATAAATGAACTAAATTTATTTAAGTTGTGCTCATTTATTAAACAAATTTAAATGATTCGAACTTGTTTATTTATTTAATGAAATGAGCTTATAAACAACTTGATTAATTTGCAGCTCATGGAAGCGACAAGTAAGAGACTATAACCTGGAAGCTTG